ACAAACGTTCCTCCGGCGTGCGGGTGTCTCAGTGCGAGCGTCGCCTGCTGTCGTCGGCCGCGCTCCGCTCTACACGATGACGTAGATGTTGTTTTCTGGAAAATGTCAGAAACCGAACGCCAAATTAAAGCCGCGACGTTTGATTAAGTGCGCCAGGTGATCTCAGGAGAGGCGCGCAGACGCAGCCTCAACCCCCTCGTTCATTTGTAAACCTCCAAATGTAGGCTTGAAATACAGGAAGTAGGAGTGTACGCTGTAAATCCCCCCCTTGATTGGGAATACAAATGATCAAATGTGCGAAGGCTAGGTGCGTACGGGTACGTGGTGTCAGCAAAGTAGCGAGAGGCAGAGAGGAGGAGAAGAGAAGGAATTAGGCTGTGATGTGAGAGGGAGCATCTGAAAATAAAGATGTGAGCTGCATTGTAGCAGCTCACCTTGAATACGCCGCACAGAAAGAATAATACATGAAAACAAAAAAAGTCTTCCATCATTGGTTTGAGATCAACTGCCGGGATCAAATAACAATCCGATTCAGACGAGCGATGTTTGTTTTCCGAATTAACAGACTCCTAATTTGCTATTCTTGGATACTTTTAATGACTGCTGGAGTAAACAGCTCCGCAACCAAAAGCCAATTATAACTTTATCAGCACAATCTCTGCTGAAGCATCGCGGAGAAGGAAACACAAATACCTTGATCTTCCAGGGAAAACTACAGCTTCTTTTTTATTTGTTTTTATCGACGATTCCTTTTCAGTAAGCTTGTCAACACGTTGCTTTTACTGACACGAGCGCAGCCTGTTCTGAGATCAACATTAATGTATAAAAAGTATCCAAACTTTTGGTTAAAGCAACTCTAAATAATGCAAAATCCTGCCACAACACTGTAGGCTCTATTTGTCTAATAATATCAGGCCTTTTATTTAAAAACAAACACACAGCTTTGCTGTGGACCGCCATGCTCCAAATATTCCTCACGTTCCAAATAAAAACAAAAAAGACAAATTAATTCTGAGTCTTTGATTAATGTGACGTTTCCAATTTAAAAACAATAAAAATCACGAGTTCCCCTCAAACGTCGGCGGCATCCTTACCAATTACTCTCAGTCAGATCTTCTCGCTGCTCAACGGAACCGCTACTGGCGTGGTAGCGTTCGTAATAGTCAATAAATCTAAAATATTATGTGTGAAATTGCGGGAAAAGACCATTAAGGGGGCGGAGCTGGAGCAGGGGTCCCGTCTGAAAGGGAGACACTAATTCGGGACAACTGTGAACTCTGAACCCGCTAAAAGCGCGGCCACTGGTCAGCAGATCCTCGTAATGGAGTCCACATGTGCTCGCAGCCCGCGCCGCCGCAATTAAACGGATCTCCAAAGGTTTCCTTAAATCAACATCGGGGTGTTTTTAGTCGAAGGAGTGCCCGTGGCCTTTGGATCCATTCGATGCTTTTATATATTCACACAAAGTGAACGCCCGAGCGTTACAGCGAGGAGCGCAGAGAAACCAGGAGCGCCGTCGTAGCTCGGCAGCTCAGCAGAGAATCACTCAGCATTAATCAAGATTTCAGGCCTCACTTTGACAAACGGCACAATGCCTCCTTTTGTGTAAACACAAACATCAAATGCCATGTGGCGTGTCCTCATCACTAACAAGCAAACTAACAAGAGACCTGGAATTCCACTCAATTAGTACCTGCTCGCTTTGTTATTAATCCGCTAACCTCCGAGAAAAGATGAGAGGAGACAGGAGGGGGGAAAACGAACGGGAATAAAAACAACAACAATTTGTTACGATAAATATATTAATGCCAGCAAAGTTTCCGTTTCAGGTGGTGTAATTCGACGTGATGTGCAGGCTATGTTCTGTCATTAGTCAGGAAAAATGGCGAGTGGGGATCAAAGCGAAAAAGCCTCCGAGCCTGCCACTTAATTTATCACACGGCAAAGACAAAGGCTTCTCTCTGCGCTTCTGTCGCTTTCAAAAGCCCCGACTCGTTTTTATGACAAACTCAGTTTGCAATTTAATTTAGGGAGTCGGTCCCTGGGTGCAGAGAAGTGAGAAGTGAGAAGAAGGTAGCCAGACAGGCGGAGACGCATGAGAAGCAAACAGCGGCTGCGGGAAACGTCCAGGCAGGCGGGAAGCGCTGCGAGGGAGGGAGACAAGAAGGCAGACAGGTGCCATGAAACTCGAGCAGTCAGGCAAACGGGCGAGAGAGCTGGCAGGAAGTGTGAAAGAGATCGGTGCACACAGTAAAGAGGCATTCACACACGCTAGCAGTCTTAGCAGTGCTAAAGCAGCAGAGGCAGGGAAGTGTGGGAGTGCGAGCAGGGCGTGAGTCTGCTGGGCAGTGGATGAAATCATGTCCTGCTGCTGGGACAGGAGTCCCGTAGGCGGTGCGACCCGAGTATATACTGTTAGCGGCGTGGGTAATAGAGCGTCCGCGGCCTCACGGCGGAGCTTTAAACACACACGGTGAAGAAGAGCTAAACAAACACAAAGACCGGTGTGTGCGAGTGACCCCGACGCCACGGTGATGCTTCCCGTAGCACTGACCGGCGTCGGCGTTAATTAAAGAGACGACGCGCTGGCAGGTGGCTTCGCTGCCCACTCTGGTAATTGGCCCCTTTCTTCCCACTCTCTCCCCCCACAAAATCACCCATCTCTGCCTTTTCTTTCCTCTGCCTCGTCCCCTCCTCCTCAGAAACGTGCCAGTGGGCAGGCGGGAACGCGAGACTTTGTGAAATAATGATTAGAATGGATGGAGATGAAGGGAAGGGAGTTTCACATTTTCCCACAAGCCTCTGATGGTCGGGGAATGCTGTTTGCCTTCCAGCGTCATACGACGCGACGGGAGTTTACTTTAGACAGCCGCAGTCTGAGGAGCCGGTGCTGCAGTCATTAATGATGCGGGGGGGGGGGACAGAGCGTACTCTGACAAGTTTCTGGATGTGTGTGCGCTTTAGTTTTCTCGCCATGCGCGTGTGTGTGTGATGTAGCAATAAAGGCTGCGCGTTCGTCTCACCACGTCACTCGGGAGGTTGTGCAGGTCGTCGAAAGGGCTCTCCAGGGTGTTCGTGTCCACGTTCAGGATGACCACGTCCTCCAGCGAGCGACTGCGCACTCTCTGCGGGAGGAAAAGGGCGACGTTAGATGTTCTCATCAGTATACACTCAAATCATTTATTGTTTTTCTTAATGATGGCTGAGACTTCCTGTGCGTCTGACATCTTTCAACATAATAAATATTTGGATTATTAAATCGTGAAACGACGCCACGATTTTAAACCCGCCGTGTGGCCCAGGTGCGTTTCCCGGGAGACAAAGTTATTTCTGTGCTGACGCCCCGGGAACGTGAACATCCAGCAGCCGCGGTTAAAGCTGCACAGTTATCACGCTCCTTTACGATTAAGGATGAAAAATGGCGCGCGGGGGAGAAAAATTATTAGAACGTGTTTACGGCGACGCGCGCGCCGACGCGAGCTGGCGAAATGAAGAATGGCGCCGAGAGGAAACATTTGGACCGCGCAAACATTTTCCACAGCGCCAAAAACCTCACGCATCAATAACAACGCCGTGATGCTGCGGCGTGCCGCGCGCATCCTGATGGCGACAAATTCAACAATTATTTCGGTGTGGTGCAGGATGCAGGCAGGTGTGTGTGCGGGGAGGGGGGGGGCGGCGTTGTGTGTGAATTTCTAGTTTGTCACTTTTGTGACAGCCTGTGCAGCGGAGGCTCACATGCTGATCTGGACTAATTATGTAGTGGCGGAAAGAAGGTCTGTCACGGATGCAGAGTGTGATAAATACTGCCACTGCCGCAACTGTCAGACAAATATCACACACACACGCGTGTGCATTAGAACATATGCATCTGCACAAACACACACACCTACATACTAACACTTACACACAAGTGTAAGCGTGTGTGTTCTTGCAACATGCATTCACACAAACAGCAGCGCTGCTGATGACTCGCCCCCCAAACAACACAATGAAGTAGGAACGCTCTTTGTTTGCAGACGCCGTCTTTGGTTTAAGGAAGCACGAAAGCAGCAGAGGAAGTGAAAAGGGAAAAAAATATAGCTTCACATTTTATTGAAACACTCAAATGAAAATAATCTACAAAATGAACACATTTTACATTCAAATCTACTGAAAAAGCTGAAGATTTTCAAACATACCTCGAGCAGACTGAGATGAACTCCCACAAAGTACGGCATAGGAGCGCTGTGGACAGAAAGAGAGACCTGTGAGGTCAGACGCTTACACCAAGGAAGCATTCATGGAGGACACTTCATGATGACATGAACCTTTAAATAAAAAATCACAGCTGTGGAAATGAGTTTCTTTGTATTCCATAAATGTAATCTGAATACATTTCAGATTACATGTGCTGAAATGTGAAGGCCTGACTTAAACTGATTAAGAACAGTGGTAATCATGTATCATTAAAAATAACAACGGTCACTAATCCTTAAAATAATTACAGTGGACACTGTTGCATGTACTGAACTCTATTTAATTGAATGCAGCTGACATTTACAGGCACAGGCGGCAACTTTTCTATTCACTGTAACAGCATCAGATTAACTGCAGCAGCACAAACTAATCTCATGTTACAGGATTTATTCTTAAAAGCAGGTAAAAACACAAAATGTGTTCTCGCCTTCCTTAAATCGCTGATTGAGACTTAAAGTAAATAAAAGATCAGTTTAACAATAACACACCAACTTTTAACCCTTTAAG